ACAGTACCCTTTCGGGTTTCGTAGCAGAAAAAGCATCATTACAAAAACTAAGAAACATTTGTCGTCACTATGAAAACAGACGAGGAATACATGTGGATAATGTAATTGCAGAGCATGATGCACGTGCTGCTCAGTCATATTCATTTTTCGTAGGGAAAGGTTTGTCTGAAGATGAATCTTTAGCAGCAGCATTTGCAATTTCATTTTATACTGGATCGAAAAGTGAAGCATGTAGTCGAGGTGCTAGTTTAATTGCACGGCAAAGTAATGGAGTTGTTATTGATGATAAAATAGTTCAAGAACTGAGTGAAGCATCAATTATTCTTTATTATTTAGTCAAAGTCAAAGCTCTTTCATACATACCCTATTATTGGGGTTATGTTACACGAGCTTGTCAATTGAAAGACGAAGAATTAGAACTTTATACAGCTGGTGCTTTGATTACATGGATTCAATTTAGTAGTTCAAAGAAAGGAAAAAAAGTAGCTAGTAATGCTGGTTTTGCCGGTCGAAATACATTTTTCAAAATCTGTTCACTGACTGGTCGTCCAATCAAGGAATTTTCAAACTATCCAGAAGAAGATGAAGTTCTCTTTTTACCACATTCAACATTTCTCGTCTTCAAACATGTAACTAGTCATCATGGTCGTCAACATAGTATTTACATGCGTCAGGTTGAGTTAGGTCTATCTGCATGGTCTGTATTATGGGTCGATGACAATATATTTAATCCAGAATGGGAAAATAAAGAGCATATGGAATATGCAGCAGCTAAAGAGTTGAACAAGAATGTACATTTCATTCCTAAATCATCAACAGAAAATGCTCTATCATTTCTTCGATCACTCTTTGGACAGATTTTAAAAAATCGAAATACACTTCGTATTGTTACTGATATGCATCGTAGCAATGAACAATCACCTAATAATGCTGGTTCACGTTTGATAAAAGGATTAAGACAACTTGGTTTTCAAAACTCATGTTTTGTATTCACAATGCAAAGAGGCATATGTAATGAAATCTTGAAAAATGAATTGAATGACCAAGAACATCAGAATATAATAGTATCAGCTAAGACACAAGATTTAAGAAAGTTTGTCAATTTTGAATGATCGTTTTTATTTGAGCTTTATTTTTTTCTTATAAGTAATAAAAAGTATATGAACGCTATGATGTAGTCAGAATTATCTAGCATATTCAAAGTCAAATTCACACATTTTTTCAAGTACTAATCCTTATTTTCTACTTCTATCGTTTCTGGATTCTTTTAATGCGAAAATGAAAGATATGCATGCAGATTAAGATTGTTTGATATCCATATGCAGACGTTTGTGAAACTATTTATCAAGCAAGTATAATTTGCTAACATGAATATGGCAATCACACCTACACCCTATTGTGTTATCAATGATTGTTTTCAAATTATAGAGTTAACATATGGTTCTTTTAATTTTTTTTTCACATCGATCCATTTTAATAAGATAAGAATATAAATGTGATTTTTACATACAGATTTGATCCATATCATTCTTTTATATACTCTTTTCAACATACTTCAATTAAAGAAATATTCGAATTTTGAGAAAAACAATGATGATTCAAGTTTACACTATAGTGTTTATGTTAATATTTAACGTTGCGTTTAGTGATCTTGTGAAAATTTTTGATCAAGACATTGATCTTAGTAAAAGTATAACATCCCAACGAATATTATCAAAAATTCCACAAACAAACACGCCAGTATTTACAATACCAACACGTACTATTAGTGGAACTGAATTTGGTAATTCGATAATGAATGTAGGTCCAACTCAAACTAGAGAAGATTTAATATTTGCACAATTTCAAGCTGGAAATGTTCCTGACTTTATGAGAAATGCTATTCCTATTACAGTAACTGCTGGAAATGATACACTCATATATTGGGTCCTTCCTGATGTTCTCTGTATAGGCACAGATAAAGATTATTTACGAACACCAATGAATCCATTAACAGCAAAGAAAATAGCAGATCTGTATAGTGCTATTTTACCAACAAGAAAAATGGCACATCAAATCTGGCAAGCAGCTACAATTAAACTAAATCCTAATCCTAATGGTGCACCGTACGATGCAACTATGATGTCAACTGAAAGAATGATATTTCATAATAATAAAATTCAAGCAGCACTTACGAATAAAATTCCAGGTGAACTTATAAGTGGTCATAAAAAAGATGTAGTTATTTCTATTGGATTACTAACAAAGCCACAAAATGTAGCTATTGTAGGATGGTGGTATCCGTCAGGACAAATGATTCAACCCTTAAATTATGCATCACATGATCGTTTCTATAAAGATTATAGTCATGGTATACGATTAATCAATCGTATGGTTACAATAAATGGTCAATGGTATGATATATATGATGTATTACAACATAAAACATTCGCATCGTTGATCAGTGATGAAGGTCCATTTAATGCTACACAAATGTATACATAAAATCATATAACAAAATGCTAAAGAATTTTGACACAGAATGATACTATAGGTGTGGGTTATTTGCTAAGTTTTTGAATTGAAAGAAAAAATTAGTATAAACTCTTAGAAAGAATTATCAGCTGTCATTTCAATTCTCTACAACGAATAAGAATTATAAAGCATCTTAAGGGTGGTTTGATAATGAACCGATATCCTAAACTAAAAATATCCATGTTATTCATATGAACATTTTCTTGCAATACAGATTTATTAAGCATATGTATAAACAAGCAGCTACAGCAGAAAATCAAGCAAAAGTTAAAACTAACAAGAAATATACAAAAGATATGCGTCTTGTAAAATGTTTTAGAAAAGAGGTGTGTAAATACAACACTATGCTCGGTTAATTAATTCATTATGTCGGAGTAGTAACCGTTGTATTGATAGGTGGAGGATACTGTGGACATACACATGTACATTGATCAGCAAAACTGTTGATCAATTCACATTTGACACAGATATGCACCGATTGACTAACCAGCATTGGTGTACTAATTGACGAACAGCCGATATGAATACGTGGTCCGTCAAGAGTTGTTTCTGAAAAGACAAACAAACATAATACTGTCGTTAGTTTTCATTGTAAAAAAACTTACGGGAGTTAATTCGAAGATGTGCACGTACAAAACCTGTCTCTGAATCGCGAAAATATTCTAGTGGTCGATTCTCCATGAAGTCTGCCGTTGAATTAATTGATATTGGTGTTGCACATCCATTGATACATTTTGTGACTGATCCCAGCATTATCGGACCTGAAATGGAACATGTGCCGTCATTTAATAGTCCAATATAGGCTTTCTTCTCTTCTAGATTCTGGTTAAGAAGCTTTTTATTCAATGTAACTTCGTCAAGCGTACGAGTAAAATCAGCTTCGCTTGTTCGACGTTGAATAATTCGACGAAGATTTTCTTTCACAGCAGTACTGAGCATCCCAACTTCATACCACGGTGTGTAGTGTTCGATTTTGAGTAATGCAGGATTAGCACCGAGACTTTTACGCCATAGAGTATAATTAGTCAAAGTTGGGTCACCACCAAGTAAATGATCCACTTTGATCTGACGTCGATTCGCGTAAAAATCATTTCCGAGGGTTTGAGCGAGAATATCCTGTTTGAGATACTCGTCAAGATTCGCTGAAGTGATGGCACCATTAAAGGAGAATACACAGTCTTTGAACAGTACGTGTTGCTCATGCATGCCACCTAAAATAAGAATGCATCATTTCAAAGAATAAAAGGTTTATTTTCCTGCATACCAACTAGTGACTGCTGAATAATATGAGTTCCCCAAGCACTAAAAAACAAGGAATAAAATTGTGCAATTTTCATTAAAGAAAGTGAAGACAGCTGTACCGGAGAAAGTCCGAATAAAGGGATTCATTGTAAGTTGGAGGAAGTGCACTTATTGCTGCACGCGCGTTAGCATTTAATTGAAAATTTTCAACACGCATTCGATAGAGGATAGTCGGTTGTTGAGTGATGGCAATAGATTCATCAGACGAAAAGTATTTTTTGTATATGTCTAACAGAGATTGTGAATGACCGAATTCACCACCTAGCCAGGCACCTTGTAATCGATCGTAGCGCCATTTGCTTGATAATTCGGCCGCAGTTAGAAAGACATGTGCCACAGGAACTGAATCGCTGTCATTGATTGATGGTAAGCTCACTTCTTTAGGCACGAGATACACACGACCTGTGAGAGGATCTTTCCAGTTTGTGATATTCGAATACGTATATTCCAGGGCTGGAAGCAGAAGCTCACCCGTTGTTATGTCGAGGGTCATGCCAACACCAAGGTAAAGCTATACGAGACAAGTAATGAAAACGTGTGGTCAATCATGAAACATACCTTATCGTTTCCTTGATTTGTTGTATCATTTATCTGTTTACTCTGAGAGCAAATCTTACCCTTATATCCCACGTAGAGACATAGTTCCTCTTGTGCTTCCTCGATGTTGCGAGCTGTATTATGATGAATAGTGACGGCATCTCTCGTGTTATTCACTTGATTTCGACTGCATTTTGTAGGAGGTAATGGATCACGATCTGCTTCAAGTTTATCAATGTATGTGCGATCTTCATCCACGGCCTCTCCTAAATAATACTTGATTGCTTCACTGAGTGCTGTGCGTTTTTTGCCTTCGGGTAACAGTTTATCGAGTGTGACCAGTTGGTAGGAGATCGGTCTCGGATTAAATTTGATCGTGGATTCCCATTCTTTCCATTTTGTTGGATCAACAGACTCGGTTCCACCGAGAAGTTGAGAGGAAAATATGGAAAATTGTTTAAACTTTTCGTCTATTTCAAGCATATGATCTTGTGAACTAGAATGAGTATTAAAAACAACAAAACTACGTGATACTTGTTCGTCAATCCAAGTCTCTGTATGTTCGTAAGTCAAACACTTTTCATACCATGTTTCAGCCCATACAAGACCACCCATGTTCGAGGATTCAACAAGATGTGTACCATACGAATCAAAGAACTGTTTCCATATATTGGTGTCATTTTGGTTGAATATCGATGGCAACTGATCTATTGCACGTTGAGCAAGTGGTGTAAGTCGAGGATAAGGAAATGTACTAGCTGAAAGTTTATACCAACCAATTTGTATCAAGCGTAATGCCAGATTATAATAATCATGATAGAATCTTCGATAGAAATTGGTGACGGTCGTTTCCTTATGCTTGCGGCCCACGCCAAAAAAGCCGCCACTACTACTCGAAGTTGTCGAGCTCGTCAAACGAAAATAATCTTGAATTGATGTAACCAGTACGGTAATGTCAACAAGAAGTTTTTCTGGAGTATTGGTGGCAAAGAAACCATTTGGCAGAGAATAACTGATCGTATCGTTGTAGGGATCAGACCAAAGCTCACCTTCACTTGTATTTGTCCGATCTAAGATACATAATTTACTTTCAAGTAAAAGAACATCAAATCCGCAGCCGACAACGTCGAGACCAGCTAGAGGACCAACTGGTGTGCGATCAGTGGAAAAAAGAGGAGCAGCTGCTGCTTTTGATTGAATTTGAGCCAAAGTAGGTAATTTACCATTGGCAAGATAATAATCGATAGTTTCACGAAGATGTACTTGGATTTGTTTGTTGGAAGCAACGAGCTCGGCAAGGTGTGTGAGAGTTCGATTAACTACGACTGGATGATTTCCCGCCTTTAGTTGCCAAGCACTGCAAAATACACGAATTAGAAAAAGCTCTCACATAGATTTTTCAAATAGATTGTGGCGACTGGATCGCGTCATTTTCTTCGTTTGGAATTTAGGAAATCACATAAAATAAAATCTAACCGGGGCATACTCATCTCTTAGTTTCTCGATCCTCAATCCACAATGAAATCGAGGCTTTATTTATATTATAACTCACTTCCATTCCGTTTGATTGTCTCCATCATTGACACTAACAGGCGGATGGTATTCTGTTATGACTTTTGTGCTCTTTTTGAACGTTTCTGTAATTTTTTGGAATATATCCATACTTTCTGAGCTTCCTTGACCTTCGTATTTTTTGTATTGAAACATCAGACTAATTTGTTGTGATGTCTCTTCAGTATTTGCGGTGGAATGATAACTTGAATTCATAAACGAGTAGACATATGCTGTTCCACCCATGATCACCCTTGAAACATAATGAGTGCCATATGATTCAACAAATTGATTATACAGTCGTTGATGATCTTCAGTAGTAGGTGGTGATGCCTGTTTGGCGAGCATGTTGATACTCGAATTGAACATTTGATCGAATCTGCAATGAGATTTATTTTAGTAAAAAAGAAGATGATGGATAAAAAAATGAAAAGATAATCCTTTGAAGTGAAATATAGGATGATTCTTACTTGAGTTGAAATGCGGGTGCCAGTTGTATTGAATACAGACCCCACCATAAAGTTGATGTACCAATTGCCTGATTATTTTTTGTAATCGCTTCTTGAGCTCGTCTTAATGTTTCACTATATTGAACAGCAAGACTAGCATAGCCAGGCACAGCAATACCTCCACCAAAAGAATAGGAGCGAAAATGACTAGAGAATTAAATATAATAATTGCGCGAAACTCTGAATGTAAATATTATTTACCTTTCATAGAATTTTTCGAATGAATAGGATATATCTTCACAGTCAACTTCACGACGAAGACTGATGTCGGTCACTTGACCAAGAAGTGGTGTAGAAAATGTTTGCTTTTGATCAAGAACATCAAGTGTAAAATTGAATTCTGATTGTTCACTCAAGTCCAGAATTCGAAATTTTGATTGTTGATCAGAACCCGACAGCATCTTGGCTGCATCGAACCCAGACATGAGTTCGTCCAGACCAGGTAAACGATTCGTATTTGCCACATAAGATTGAGAAAAAATCAATAACCAATAAAAAAAGAAGTGTTTCATCTAAAATTACAAGAGGCAGATAAGTAAAAGTCATTCAAAAAAAATAAGCTTAAGCAAAAGAAACAGCATTGAAATGATTCACATATTATTCAGTGTCACTGTGAAATACATAAATCGCTCGAGTAAGGAGCTACTAAATCGCATGCTCGTCCGAAAACGGCAAGACTAGTATGTTGGCAAAACGATTTACTACCGGTGGCCACCATACGAGCATTGAGAACTGATGTGCAGCCTGTTAATCGAACAAGACGGGTCTGAATGCCAACAATGTGCGTTTCATTAATGTGGCGTCCAATGAATGTGTTGGCTACAGTAGGTGTATCACTTGTCCAATAGACATCATAGTCTCGTTGATAAACATGTCGATACTCTACATTAGCTGTGACAGTGTATATTCCAGTCAGATCATAAACGTAGTTCCACTCGGCTGGGCCCTCCTGACAAGTTGCATTGCCTGTCGAGTAGTATTGAGTTGCCGATGGGCAGTATTTAAGCATATTGATTCCATTTATGCATTGATAAAATGATCGATAATCATCTCGATTGACAAAAGTCCCAT